TATTCATCAGAAGATTTTGCTCTAAATTCTTCTCTTTTGTAATAATAACAAGTCGTTTAGTCTCTCTCTCTCTCTCTCTTTCTCTCTGAGTGAAAAGCTATTTGGTAAAATTTAAATCAATTTACACACCAATGAATATTCACTTAAAAGAAGAATCACAAAAATATAATCAAATGATTGAATCAACAAAATGGCAAAAAATAGGTAAAAATCTTTAAATAAACCAACGCTTCAAAGTCTTTTGAAGAGGTTTTTATGGATTCATTTCTTTTGTCATAACAATAATGCCATCCATAAGAATGAGATGACAAATAATAATAGTATTAAAGAAATAATAGGAAATATAGGAATTCCTTTTGAAAAAGACATTAAAAATTAAACAGAATTTGCATGAATTCCTGAAACTGAAAGCTAAATGAAGTATAAAACCTATTATATATTTTGGAAATGTAATCCTTATGTTAACAAATACTACATTTGACAGAATGTTTAATAACATAAACCGTATATTTATAATCAATGATTAATATAAAATTTTTATATTACAAAATATAATACTATATATTTTATATTTAATTCCCACAAACATTTAAATATAGATTTTAAAATATTTGATAAATAAAATTTAATCTAAAGTAATATATTCTGTGCGCTTATTATTATTTAATTTTATGTATTGGTCAATAGCATTAGAAAATTTGTTTTTATAAAAGATTTTATTTATTTATTTTCATCATAAAAATGCCTTAAGACATATACTTTAGACATATATTATTTGTACAGCATTTTTGTTATTAAATTTCAATGCAGTCAATATTATTGAATTTGTGAAAGACTCTCGTCTGGCGTTTAGAGAGAGATATTTTAGTGAAATATTTATATATATTTTGATCTTTTATGAACTCATTTACATTTTCTTTTCAGAGAGAGAGAGAGAGAGAGAGAGAGAGNAAATCATTATTTGATGTGAATGTTTGTTCAGTAAAAGGAAATAACAACGAGTATGAGAGAGAGAGAGAGAGACTAAACGACTTGTTATTATTACAAAAGAGAAGAATTTAGAGCAAAATCTTCTGATGAATAACTCTATCGAAAGTATATTTTTAATCCAATTCTGAAGTTCAGTCAGTCTTTCATAATATAATTTCTTTATATACGTTATATATTTTGTTTGATATTTCACACTATTTTTAGTTTAATTCTTGAGTATACAATACGCTTGAAATTTACTGAATATATAATAAAAGATTTGTACACTTTTTTGCACTTTTGTTTAATTCAATTAATTTCTATGAAACAAACCTTTCGTTTGGAGGCAGCCATTCGCGCGTCTCTCGCATCCTCGGCCTCTCCGGGGGGTCTTTTACCCCAAACGACGATCGCTTCAAAACGACAAAAACAATTAATTACTATCAGTTTTAATCAGACAGTTGTCTACTGTATATAGAGTATCAGTCGATTGTCTTATTTTGATTATTAAACGATTATTTAAATGAAATCATTATTTGATGTGAATGTTTGTTCAGTAAAAGGAAATAACAACGAGTATGAGAGAGAGAGAGAGAGAGAGAGAGATAGAGAGTATTTTGTAATATTTCACAGAATTTTGAGTTTTTATTTTTATTTTATCATTAGTACCGACGAGAGAGAGAGAGAGAGAGAGAGAGAGAGAGAGAGACCTTATGGGAAATAAGCAATAGTGGTGAAGAAGATAAGATGATGGGAGAAAAAAGTGAAGCATATGTTTACTGACCTATTCTTGAATACGTAAATATGAGTACAGAGAAAGGGAAGCCGTATTGCAATATCATTAATAACATAGAATAATAATAGCGATAGTCCTCTCGCGGCCAGTTCTCAGTGCACTGATAGAGCTGATCGTTCACTACCAGAGCGGCGGCCAAACCGGTGGTGGAGTTGTATTCCGGGGGCGGCGGCGGTAACGGCACTAACCGTGAGAGCAATGCTGTGGGCAATGGTGTGAGTAGTGCCACAATCCATACGATAATTATGATTAGCTTTGACTGCAATTTAGTCATTCGCGGTCTCAACGGATAGATAATAGCGATATATCGGTCAATAGAGATGGCTATTAGCGTATAGGCGCTGATGAAGACGGAGACCGCCTGTGCGTATGAGACCAGCAAACACATGATGGAGCCGAACGGCCAGTAACCCAGTATTAGGTTGGATACAAATGCGAACGGAATGCAAATACAGGCCATAAGCATATCGCCAATCGCTAAGTTCATGATAAAAAAGTTGGTCACAGTTCTCATGCGTTTGTACGCGAATATGATGTATATAACCACTCCATTACCGCCGATGGCCGCCAGCGATATAGTCATATACATTAAGCACATCAGTATTTGAACACTCACTGGTGTCGCGCCTCCGCCCTCCTCATCATCGGCCTCCAGACCCGACTGTTGACCGAAACTACTATTAATATTATTATTATTATTATTACTGTTGAGATATATCTCATGCGATGAGTCTGTTGTGAATTCAAGCGATTCATACATATTTGAATCAAACACGTAAACAGCATTACGTGCGGACACGTCCCCCAATTGGTGCCTCATATTGTAAATGATTTTTATTTCTTCACTCAATTCATTGCATTTTATATGCAATTCTTCGTCAAATCGATGCCATAAATCATACAAATATTATCATATGATTCGTAATAATCTTTATATATTTTTGCTAACAAATATGCCGTTGATTTGTATTTACTGTAATGTTTTGTGTTATTATTATTATTATTACTTTTGCTTATTTTTCCTTTTTATTGTTATTATATATCAATACTATATATGAAATGCCTTTTCAAATAAAATTACTTTCAAATTATACTTAATATAAATGCAAAGAATATTATACACGACTTAATACTCTGTGTTTCCGACACAAGAATCGCAATTCAATAATAACTGCGAGAATATTATGGATTGTGAATGAATTGAAGGCTTGAATGAGATATCAATTTCTGTTTCTCTGGTAATAATAGAAGAGAAACTTCTCGTTTGTTCCCTTCATTCAGACATAGACTTTACTATTGAAAATGTTTGTAAAACTTTTTATTTTACTTATACTTTGTATGCTTTGTCCACTATTTTAAGACCAATTTTTTCTTGTGGTCTTAATTTTTATATATTTTTTCTGCTGTTGTTTTGCAGTATTTATTTACAGAATATTATGTTTATTGTAGACAAATAGATGAAGATTATTGCCTCCCAATGGATGGATTGAAACAATATTTGTGGCAATTCTTCTTGACATTCATTTTTCTATTCTCTAAAAATAAATAAAAAATAAATATAAAAATATTGAACAAATCGATTAATAAGGAGTAAATATAGTATAAGTTTAATGACTTTTGGTGAAAAGGTGTACAGAATTGAGAATATTATATAACATTTTAATTATTATTAAATAAAGTAATTAAACTTAGAAGTCATTGACAATGGGATCAGTGGTATGGAAAAGACACTAATGTAAAAGAGGTGTAGAAAAGGTTGTAATGATTTAGGAGAAGAGAGAAAGAAAGAAGAAAGAGAGAGAGAGAGAGAGAGAGGGAGGGAGAGAGAAAGAGCAAAAATGAAAGGTGCCATCAAATTGACATCTATTTTTTGCGTGACATTTGTGTTTGAAATAGTTTATTAACCCATAAATAAGTCGATAAAAACAGGTCTTTTGCATAAATTAACGAACTCTCTCTCTCTCTCTCTCTCTCTCTCTCTCACTCACTCACTGAATGCAGGCATTAATCTAATAATATCTAAAGTGACACATCCTTTCATTTATATAAAAGACATGATTTCTCGCAATCGAAACACGGATTGCGAGAAATAATAACGTAAAACACTTCTCTCTTTCTCCTTTTTTCTATCACGTCTTTTCCAGTTTATCTCTCGTAGTATTGAATGGCAAATATCGTACAACTAATGCAATGTTATTTGTTTGTGTAATTTATTTATGTATTTAATATACTGTATGTCTGAATGTATTTGCGAGAAGAGTGGGCGCCCGACAAACGGTAATCGGCATAACTTATGAAAAGTAATTTGTGAAATATTTATATAACGATTAACTGGGATTAACGCCGCGAATGTCTGATTACACTAAATATTAATATTTTCTGTTGTAGTTTAGAAAAAATTAATATTTTGTTTTTTTATTTAAATAATATTCATTTTTGTTGTTGAAATTGCGATTCTCTGATTATTATGTTATATATTTTTAATAATACAATAATTTCAATGTTATTCATCTAAAATATTTTAATACTTGTTTTAATCATATTTTTAATATATTTATTTTATTTTTAATTTTTGTGTTAATTCATTAGCGAAAGTATTTTTTACAATTGACAACAAAAATATATACTAAAATTATTTTAAAATATTGTTATCATTAAAATATAATGATATTTAAGGAATTTCAAAAATCAAATACAACCACAAAAGTGGAAATTGTGTTAAATATTAAATAAATTTAACAAATATTTACTCATTAATTGAATTTTATGCAACCATTGGATCTCGAAAAATGTGAAATTCATTTCAAATAGTGTTTACATCAGTTAAATAAACATTTTTTTAATGATAAATTCAAATGGCTTTAAGGCATTAAATGATTGTAAAATTTTGGTTTAAAATAATAATTTACATCATTAATTTTTTTAATTAACTTATAAAAAATTCATTCAAAACATATACAGAAAAATAATTTTTAAAAACCTAATCTCAAAATTTATATCTTTTATTCTATATCTTATAAAAGTAACCTAAAAATGTGTTTCTAATAATTAATATAATAATTGGATTTAAATATCATGATAAGAAATACATTAATAAAATTAAAGCCATTATAACATAATATAAAATGCACTTTATATACAATAAGTATGAATTATGGTTTCAATTATTATTAAAGTAATTTATATCTTGTTATGTCAAACGTTATAATTTAAAAATTGGGTCTAATTTTTCTTTTTCTTTTTTACTTTATATGTAAATCGATAGCAAAACACAAAAGCGATTGAAATAACTTTCAAAAGTAAACTTCAAAACTTGATATCTGGACACAAAATGAGAAATAACTTGAAAAAAGCAATAAAATTACGGGTCAAGAATCGTGAGCTCCTATAGATTCATAGCATGGGATTAATATAAGATACCATAGAGTCTATGGCGTAGACTATTGTTGGATACGACGCCTCATTAGGTTTTTGAGATGCGATCGGAGAAATGGGTTTTGAAATTTACAAAAAAGGTGTTTATATTTCTTATTTTTTATGGCAGACAATAACCCAAAACCCCACCAAAAAATCTGGTATAAAAAATAGGCAAATCATTGATCGGTATTCGCGGCTGAGTTTAATGATGTCATTAAGTGATAGAAAGAGTTTCGGATCCAAAATAGGATGAGTTTTATTTTTATTTTATCATTAGTACCGACGAGAGAGAGAGAGAGAGAGAGAGAGAGAGAGAGAGAATAAATCTCCAATAATCTCATACTTTTCTTTGGAAAAAATTAAGTGAATCTGAATTCAATGAATTGTTATTTGAAATCAAACCGAAAATTAAGTGTGATTTATAAATAAAACGATCGATACATAGATTACAAAAAAGTTTTTCGATGAGTTTATAGTTTTTAAGCGAATAAGTTATAACAAGTCATCAAATAGTATAGAGAATATTGAACTGAATAGCAATTCTTTGAGACATTTCTACAGAAAGTATTTTTTGCTATTTTTGTTTCAAAGAAAATATTAAAAAATAACTTCAACCCAAGAAATTGTGTAATAATAAAATAAATTCCAAAAATATATTTCACATTTTAAATTGTATGCAATTAGATGTAAGTTCATTAAATGTAAAATCATATATCATTTTGCATTGTTAAAGTTTTTACCCATTGAACAAATGTCTCAATTTATTACTGCAATCAACACTTTTATCGAAGTAAAATAAACAAAAATAGTATTTATCATTAGGAATATAATTCAAACAATTTTTAAGAGCCGTTTATCACAAGAATTTTCATTTTGTTTCTTTCAAGAAATGTTTTTATTAATAAAATAGTGTTTTAATAAAAATATCAATTGAATTGCAAACTTGAATGTCATGTTTTCATAAGCAAATCGTATGTATCAATCATATAGTTTGCGAAATAACATTGTATTTGACATTTTGAACGAGATATATATCCGGATGGACAGCGATTATTGATATGCCTATCAATTACTTCCTATTCTCAAAAATATCTCATTATTAATCATTTGGAGATATATTTCATTTCAACTCATAATATGAATAGGAATCGAGTACTCAATGAAAATAATCTGCTTTTTCTTTGAATTGTATCCAACAATCACATCAAGTAATGCATTAATATCTGACAAATAATTATAGTAATGATATATTTCGCTAATAAATAGCTCACAATCACAATAACAAATCGTTTTACTTGCAAACAATTATGGTATTAATTAAGCTAATTGCCCGTGTCTTGTAAATTAATGTTATTTTTGTATACATTTAAAACATTAAATGATTTAATTATAATATGTATTAATAAAGTTAATATGGATTTTATTTTTATTTCACAACCACTTAATCTGTGAAAAATGTTTTTTGTTTGAGTTTTTTATTATAAAAAATGGTAGAAAACGCTTCAAAAACAATAAAATATGGCAAACAATTAATTAATGTTAAAAACTGCTTAACCATAGAATTTAAGATTTAAAGAGTAGTTTAACTCACATTATATTTAACCGAAAAAATGTAATTTAATAACTTTTTTCTGGTCTACAGTTATTGCAGAGTATATAACAAAATAATATATCATTCATTATATAATGTGGAGTTAGAGTTGGGTATAATATATATTTATTTTGTAACTTGAAAAATTCTCTCTCTCTCTCTCTCTCTCTCTCTCTCGTCGGTACTAATGATAAAATAAAAATAAAACTCATCCTATTTTGGATCCGAAACTCTTTCTATCACTTAATGACATCATTAAACTCAGCCGCGAATACCGATCAATGATTTGCCTATTTTTTATACCAGATTTTTTGGTGGGGTTTTGGGTTATTGTCTGCCATAAAAAATAAGAAATATAAACACCTTTTTTGTAAATTTCAAAACCCATTTCTCCGATCGCATCTCAAAAACCTAATGAGGCGTCGTATCCAACAATAGTCTACGCCATAGACTCTATGGTATCTTATATTAATCCCATGCTATGAATCTATAGGAGCTCACGATTCTTGACCCGTAATTTTATNCTCTCTCTCTCTCTCTCTCTCTCTCTCTCTCTCTCTCTCTCTCATCCGTCTTTGCATTGACTTTTGCTGCTTTAATGTACAATCTATACGTATAATACCATAACTTAATTGAGTTTATCTTTTGGCTGAATTCATACTTGTTTTGACTCCAAATCATAACTAATGAAATGCAATGAAAGGCAATATAAGAAAACCTGGAATTCATTGTTCACCGGATATGTATTTCGATGACATTTATGGCAATTAACGGCATT